CCTGTTGTTGCAGTTGAGTCCTTTCGCCCTCAGCGTACCCATCGACTTCCTTCTCGATATCGTGACTGACCTTACCCCCCCATATGCCCTCTATCTCTTACCATTCCTGGACACTTAAGCAGCAGCTCCCGGTTTCGGCTTCTACATTCGGCTTCTACATTCGACTTCTACATTCGACTTTCGACCTCGGTGCTTCTGTTCAGTACCAGAGTACACGTCGCGTTGTTCCGGACGTCCACTTGGTTTTCTGCATTACTCCTACTTCATCCTGGCTACTTCGATTCGACTTCACTCTGGAGACTTATCAGTTGGACTACTTCATCTCTTCGGCTACAGAGTTCTCATCATCCCCCTGTATCCTTACCCTCCAGTCGCATGATGACCCCTATTTCCCCTGTCTATGTGGGTGTGTCCGCTTGCCGCCCTTCTGCCTTACCTTATGCTGCGCGCCCTCCTCCGGAGTGTACGTTTTCTTTGCTCGCGGCTCTTGGGCCACATGTCTATGCCGGCATAGCCCTCTCTCCTGCCAGGCTCACCTTATGCGTGCTCCCTTGTGTGAGTGCCATTCCCCTTTCAGCTGGCGGTGCCCGTTTGATGGTTTCCATTGAGCCCGGTGTCGTGCTGTTACTCCCCCCCCTGAGCCTGATGACCCTTACCTGGTTGTGCGAGTGCCCCCTTGGAGTTTACTCTAAGAGTCGTACCCGCCGCCTCCCCACCTATTCCTACCTCTCCCATGCGACTGAGTTCCTTCCTCTTTTGTTCAGGCATTGTGCATTGTGTACAGGGTACTTGAGATTGTGCCACATTCTTTCGACGTAGGACATTGGCTTAGATATTCTTTGGCCTTTAGGGCCATGGTGTTGATTTATGTTCAGCCTACTTGGCTCATGAGACATTCTTTTCTCTTTCTTGGCTGACACAGGTCAGACATTTTTCTCTTTCTTGACCGACACAGGTCAGACATTTTTCTGCTTTTTGGGTCGACTCAGACCAGACATTGTTTATAGATTAGGCTTGAGGCTTAGTCTGCACTGCATCCCTTTTTCCTGCATGGAGTTTGCTCCGCATTTAGGATTGTTTTTCTTTGGCCGTTCCTTTTGGGTTCCCGCTCTTTCAGCGGACAGCGTGTTTTGATGCATCTCTGGATCCATTCACAGGTCCGAGGATCGTGGAGCGGTATCCCTCCGGCCCGGTAGGGAGGCCGGACCAGTTTCAGGCCGCCGGCCTGACCCTGGTCCGGTACCAGGTTATTCCGCTACTGGACCCAGGCCGGTATATCACTTCGGCCTAGGTCCAGGGCGGCAGGTTCATTCATTCGGTGCTTGGTTCATTCATGGGCCGGATTGGACCCTCACTCAGTGGCTGCTCTCATGTGTGTCCATCTCTTCTCTCTCTCCCTCTATCCCCGCACGTGCCCTCCGCACGTGCGTCACACCCACGTGGCATCCAGCACCACCCACCGACCGCACACCCTTCATGCGTCGCCTCAACGGGAGTCCCAAGACATGCCATCTCCAGCCTCCGCTATGCCGCCCTGAACACGCCAGATCGCTTCATGGCTTCCCGGCGCAACACGCGTCCCGGGTTTCTATTTCAACAGTTCACAGGGTGTGTGGAAGGAGGCTATTGCCTCCATAATGAACAGAAAAATAGGGGCTGCTAGTGGGTCCCCCTGTCTGACCGACCTGGACATTTTATACTTTTCAGAAAGATGACCATTGAGTTGAACCTGTCCTTGTGCGTCATTGTACAGAACGCGGATCCATTTACGAAAGTTAGGGCCAACTCCCATCTTTTCCATGCATAGTTGTAGAAATTTCCAGTTTACCTAGTCGTCAGCCTTTTCAAAATCAAAGAAGAGGATTGTCGCGTTGATCCTCTTATTTGTGATATATCTGACTGATTCCGACAGCGTCATGACGTTATCCAAAATAAATCTTCCCGGTACGAAACCCGTTTGGTCCAGATGAAAACATCTATTTGTGACCTTTCTCAAACGATTCGCTAGAGCTTTAGCCAGTATCTTGTGTGTGAGTGTTAAAAGAGTAATTGGCCTATAATTTCTGATATCCTTGGGGTTCCCCTTTTTATACAAAAGGGTAACGACTCCCAACGAGGATTCCAACCCAAGGCCTTCTTTGTGCCATGCCTGATTTAGAAAAGCCTCATATTCCCCGCCGAGGATGGGTCAGTATTCCTGCCAGAATTCCTTGGTGAGCCCGTCCCTTCCTGGTGTCTTATTAGGAGGCATTGAGTTAAGGGTTTCTCTTAGTTTGTCTTGGGTTAGAGGGGCATCCAACATCTTTGCTTGGTCCCCTTTCAGCGTGCAGTCTAGGTAAGCCAATAACTTATTTATGACTTCTTTTAGTTGCTGTTGTTCCTGATCCCCCTCCCTTGAAGTGTAAAGGTCCCTGTAAAAGTTGCAGGCTACTGTCAACATCCCCTCTGGAGTAGATTCCAAGCCTTGCGGTCCATCCAACTGTTCTATCAACGCATTTCTACCTCTTGCTTTGATCTTTTGAAAGAAGAACTTCGTCATTCTTTCTCCCTCCTCCCATTCTCTCACTCTAGTCCTCATCTGCAATCCCCTGGCTTTCCATCGCTCCCAGTCCCCCAGTTCCCTTCTAGCTGAGTTTATTATTTTCTCATACATCTCCATTCCTGGATTGTTAATTAGATTTATCTTTGCAATGCGTAACGCTCGCTGCAGCTCTCTTTCTCTAGCCGCTCTTCTAGCCGCTAACTGCCTAGCCACTACTAACGTTGCCTTCGACAAATCGTTCGTAAGATCTTCAAACGATTGTGTTTCTTCATCATATCCCAAGCATACTTGCAGTATAGCATCTTTCAACTCTTGGGTTTTTAACAGAGAATTATTGACCTTATAAAAACTTTTACCCCTCTGTAAATGTTTGTTGAAAAGGAGGTGGAGGAAAATGGGCTTATGATCTAAGCAATTACAGTATGGCAGGTCCCCTATTCCAACCGCATGCAGTGTCCCTACTAGGCCTTGCGAAATGAGAAACTAGTCTATCCTAGACGCCGGCGTGTGCTGACTACGATTCCTTTTATAGAAGGTGAACTGCCTCTGATCCGGGTAGTGCAATCGAAATGGATCAATGAGGTCCTTGGATGACATGAGATTGTGAATGGGTAAGGCCTCATCCCATGACAACCCCTCCCCCGTACTTTATCTTCCTCCAAACAATCTGTCCTTACTTGGTTCGAGGGTGGCGTTCCAGTCCCTTGTTATTATAAGGTGCCTTGTTGCGTCTATATGAGCCTGTAGTGATTGTAGCATTTTTTACCTTTGGTGTCCTGTATTCGGGCAGTAAACCATGATCAGCGAGAACAACTCCTCCTGGTATACAAAATTGAGTTTTATCCAGCGTCCATCTCCCTCATCTACCGTAGCGTCTTGTAGAACTATTTTGTTTGTCATCGCTGACCTTTTGTTTTGTAGTATTACTACTCCTGCTGAGTGCGCTCTACCTGCTGTAGCCCAAAAGCTAGCTTTAACCCACCTTAGCTGTTGTAGGATGCATTGCTGGATGCGTTGGTGTTCCAAAGTATCTGTGAGATGAGTTTCCTGTATGCATAGAAAATCTGGTGGACTCCTTCCAAACCAATCTGAATACTTTAGTACGTTGTCCCATTTATCTTTATTTTCCAAGATCTGTACCATCCCGTTAATATTCCATGACATGATTGAAATTTCTGATTCGCTTCGTCCTACATTGACAACAGTCCTTCTCTTAGCTATCCCTTCACTCAAACCATCCTCCATTGGTCATGTTCCTTGTTGCTTCCCCCTGTAAAACCACCTCCTCAAGAACCTGTTTGGGACCAATCTATCTCCGTTGACAGTAGTGCGATCTTGTTGCCGATGTATTTCGGTAACTAGGAGAAGGTTTTTGTCCTGGTGACTATTGCCGCCCCCCTCGCAACCCACTCAGCTGCCTCCGATCCACCCTATAGGCCGTACGGTCCACCACCTGCCACGGCATCCAGACCAAATCCTCCGCCAGCCTATCCTTCTCCTGTAATCTGATTATAATAGGCATGTAGTCAACCATTGACCCACTTCCAGCCTTGTCGTCCCATTCCTCCCGGTCATGTGTGAGGTCCCCCAATATATGTGCCTTCATGGGCAGGTCCTCAGAGATCAACTCCTTGAGTACCTCATGAGAACAGTGGGTTTCCTTTACTGTAAGTAATGCAAGCGACTTTTGAATGGCCACTTCCCAATCAGAATTACCACTGTTCCAGCGATAGGGAAGGATGACTCTCTTGCCCGGGTTGTGTCTCGCGTAGAGCTTTGCCGCAGCGTTTATGTCCGTGTGCGACGAGGAAGCAATCTTCTGCAGGTTTATAGTGTCCATCTCCAGCTCCCTGTTCTGATCCTTGAGGACATTGATCTGCGCTTCCAGAATCGCCGCCTGTCTCTTCTCCTCCTCCTTTTGCTCATCCTCTTCCCTTCCGTTGGTTGCATCAACTGTTTCCTGATCCCCACTGTTGGACTTGTCCGCCGCTTCTTGCTACGCCCTGTGTTTTTGTTCCAACCTTTTCAAGCCTTGTGGCTGGTACGTTTTGGGCCAAACGAACTGTTTGGTGTATCCCGCCTTGTGTATCGTAATGTCATTATTAGCTAGTCTGGCCTTCCATGCGTACTGCGCTGCGTAGAATTCATTGACTTCCTGCTCTTTCTTCAACCATTCGAAGCGGTTCGTTGTTGTGACATCCTCTCCTGCTGCTGTGTCCTGTTTCAGGTTTCGGAGGTCTTTGTGGTGAGCCAGGCGGATTTCACATTCAGTGTGCCTTTCCCACCTTAATTTACGCACTGTCCTGATCCACTGGTTCTTTCTCTCCTTCCGCATCTTCCCACTCTTCCTCATCCTCCTCACCCTCTTCTTCATCCTCTTCATCATTCAAGTCCTGCGACATCTTATCCACTCCCTCCTCTAACCTCTCCTCCTGTGGCCCCCCAAGTTCCCAACTGAGTCCTCTGTTGCTTCCCTTGTCCCCTCACTCGGGGGGGTGGTTGTGGAACTGCTGCTTCCTGCTGTTTCATTTTGCCCTGACTGGTGGTCCGATGAGGAGGGTGAGGCCTCCCCGGAAGCTTGGGGAGTAGCATCCATCCTATCTCCCTAGTCGCTGCTGTGTCCTTGGTCCTCCTCGTCTTTGCCCGAATCCTGATCCTGCCCTGGCTGTGAGGAGGCTTCCCCCTCCCCTCTTCCTCCGTGTGCCCTTTTGAGCCTTTGGCTTACACTGTCCCCCCTCACCGACTCCCTATCACTTATTTTTCGTTTAAGAGAGGACTGTGAGTCCATCCCCCTGCCCTCCCCTGTAGTGGATGTACATCCCTCCTCCCCCACTTCCATCCCTGCTATGGTATGGTCACTATTGGCTGCACTCTCCCTGCTTTGTTGTTTTCCGTTGTCCTTCCTTCCCTCTTGTGCCAATTTTTTTGCCTCCTTCTTTGCCTCCTCCCTTGCTCTTTTGTTTTCTAGGAAGGCCAACTCCGCTTCTTGCCCCAGCTTGTGCAATTCTGCCATGGACGATAACCTCTGTTTGTTGTCGAGCACCATAGCACCATCAATCATTGGTTTAGTGATGTAACCCACTTCCTTGTCCTCCATCCTTTTCGCACCTGTGTGGCGTTTTTCGCATCTGTTTGGCGCCAACGGCTGTCGTATGGCGGGTAAATGTCTAGTTTGATCGTTGGTGAACTGTTCAGAACCCAAACCCATCTGGGAGTTTTTAAATTATCATCGAATATCCAGCCCCTGTACTGTGATGCGTTTATGTATCATACCCCCGGCTTATTGTCTGACTCTACCAGCATTGATTGTTTGAGTTGTGGCTGCCTCCCCCCCGATCCAGACCCTGACTGTGGGCAGTGCATTCCCAAGTGCCCTCTGCCCCTGCATTTGAAACAGAACAGGTTTGATTTGGTGGAGATGAAGACTGTGTTGATGGTCCAACGTTTTAAGAACACCACGAGTCCAATGAGCACATCATAAGATAATACATATAAAATCAGTGCATCCCCTAAGGCGTGTACTTGACGGACGTATATGGCCACACTGGAAATTTGTCCAATAGATCGGACCTTACCCTCATCAGCTGTCAGATATCTATCCCACAAGGTATAAGAAAAAGATCCTTCCTCTGACCCGCGGTTTCAATCAATCATAATGACATGACAAAAATTGTAGAACAGGTGTCGATGATGGCACTACATGACTGTCCTTACACCTCTACATCGCATTCCGCAGATTTCTAATTTAGAGGTTTCATCCGAATCAAGTGATCACCCTCAAAGATCTAGAGGAAACTAACTCGAGGAGGGGGTCATGCACCTTCTTGGGAGCGTCTTTCGATGTAAATGGTTGCAATTTGGGAACCTTCCCATTTACTTCGGTTAATCATGCTAGTGCGAAATACTCTCAATTAACCTTCTAGTGTTCTAGAAGCTTTTTATTTGCGATCTCAGCGATGGTGAGGTTATTGAGGTATTCCGAATGCAGCGGAATGCGATAGTTTGGAACTCGGAGAGAGAAGATCTCTAAAACACCTAATTCTTAATTTCTTATGTTTTATATGTGTCCTCCTACTTCCATTTTTGCTCTCCATTCAGAGACATCTCCGGGTTTCCCTGGTGCGGGTTAAATTGATCCAATCATCCACAACCCTTGGAAACCTAGGTCTATTAATCGATCGACAGGGCTTAGTCCGGTCGGAGGTTCCTCGCAGTTAGTGATCGTAAAAGTGCTTAGCCTAGCCTCTGCTACTAGATCTTCCACCACAGGGCCAGCAGGCAAGGTCGTTAGGGATGCGAACTGCAATTTGTGAAGCCACAAGCGTTATTTTCTTTCTATAGCCTCGATTGTGCAGGTTGTATATAGTCTTGCACTATATGCCCAGACTCTTGAAATACACAACAAACATATCTCGCCAATGCAAGGGCGGCTTAAGCTTGAGGGGCGGCAAATTGGGGACATTGTTGTGGCGTACGACACCAATTTCGCAAATTTGCAGCAATACCTCTACTCGTAATGTGTGCCTATTGTCACTTGAGGTTTTGTTGCATCATGAGCACTAGAGCCTGAGTGGCATCCGCCAGAGTCTATATTTCACTTACATTCCCCTCAGCAGGGGTGACAGGTGGTGATGCTACTACAATTGCGACCGTTGCTAGGATCGCTCTTCAGACCGACTTTGCATATTTAGTGTTTATGGATAACAAGAGATACCTGTTTTTAAGTTTTTCTGAGCTTCGATCGCAGAATGTGATTTCACAGCCCATCAGGAAACCTCAACCCATTGTTTCTTCTCATCGAGATCGGGCAAGAAGCACACGAAAAACGTCCGCATACTACATTATTGTCGTCGTGGGTCTTTGAACATATCTTCGATTATCCAAAAAAAGTTGAAAAAGAAGATTCACAATGAACATAATCAAATATTTTCAAAAACAAATTCTCAAAGGTGGAGAGATGGATGAAATGGTAGCTGCCAAACCAACCCAGGGGTTCTCCACCCAGTATAGCAGGGATACACAAGGCGACCTCGCCATTGGGGTAATGCTGCGCCAAGAAGGTGGTCAACTACGTTTGAGGAAGATGGAGCTCAAGGAAGAAGATGTAAAGTGGCCAAGGGGCATACGGGGCTCAGTGCTCACTGAGGAGCGTTGGCAATGTTGTTGTCAATGCTGCCAGTGGTAGGGGCCTATCTTCCTCGAAGATGGGGACCAAGGACATAAGGGGAACAAGATGCAAGGAGTTCCTGGTGAAATCAATACGATTGCCCGCCTGCTGCTGTTCTCGTTGATCTTCGGCCATAGCTCGGGCTGTGCCTCGACCTTGAGCAGGGTTTCTATTAGTGATGACAAGACGGCGGCGGCGAGGTGCCAACCATCCAAGCCTGAAGCATTACCAAGAAAACCTCGGAGATGAAACGAATCAGCTCTAATACCAACCTCACCCTCTACACAGTGTCCCGTACCCATGGGAGCGCCGATCAGAGTAGGTGCGGCGTGCCGAGGATTTTAGGCAAGGGATTGAACCGCCACGATGAAACTAGGGTTCTCGCCTCATATTTGAGGGCTCTTCAAATAACACCGGCCAATAGGGATAACTTCGAATTGCAGAAATCGAAAGAAAGAGAAGTGCAAGACAACCCCAAAACCTTGCCGCTGGACTTAGGGATAAATACACAAAAACTCAATCTGGTCCGTAACAGAAATACAAAACCCCACAAAAGAAATGTAGCTGACACCTAATCTAAATCAGGTTCACACCTCCCTTTTCATGGGGACTAAGGAGAAAAAAGGCGCTTTACGCGTCTAAGTCGGGCCAACGTCGCCCATCTAATTGACTGGATCCTCGTCATCGGAGGTGGTGGGAGCAGAGGTACTAGGACCAGGAAGTCTGCTGGAAGCACACCCGCGTTGCGGCCCCGCATTGTGGGAGAGATCCACGAACCGGATAGACTCTTCGTATCCCAACACCAACCACCGCCAGGAATACAAGTTCCTGAGCGGGCACTAACTACAATTAAACTGAGGCTTCCACGTGGCGTGCGGAGCAGACCAAGAAAACACTGTCAGACTGGTATATGTCAAGATCAACAAGGGGCCAGAAAACCATACAGTCAGCACAAACCCCACTCGCCCTATATGACACGCCTTAGACGGGTTATAGAAATGAACCCGATCGTTCCACGCTAGCATCCTCCGCACATCCGCACCGCAGTAAAGTTTGTCTCCGTGTGGGATCGGAAAAGGGGAAAGATGGCTATGGCGGATCGATGCAAGGCTCGAGCATGGGCAATTACTCGCTCTCACGCTCAAGTTAGCAAAACTCGACTCCATGCAATTCTCAACTTGTTTCAACCCGGACCTGCTTGAGCACGGGCAATTACCCGCTCTCACGCTCAAGTTAGCAAACCTCGACTACATGCAATTCTCAACTAAGTCAACTTGTTTCAACACAGACCTGACACCCAATCACGATGCAAAATAATCAGCGAGTAACGACTCCAGTCAAAAGTGCCACCTTGAAAAAAAATGACGATGGTGGGGAGGCAGAGAGATCGGGTGGTACAACTTAACCGCCAACATTAGATGTCCCTGGTCGTCTAAGCACACATACACCAAGTGGACGCAGAAGCGGAGACGTGGCACTTGTACCCAGAGAGGTGGGGGAAGGTGAAAAGGCAGGCGACAATCTTGCACCCGCGGCGCAAGGGTTGAAGTCTTAGTCAAGGCAAATTTAAAGGGGCATCAGCACACTCATACATCCATGTAGATGGCATAAGCCCACTTAACCGTGCAGACATGACGACAACAATGACAATTACTCAATCCTCAACTAACCATACATCCATAGACTTACTGATAGCGAAGCATTCAGCATCCACAGACACTTACAACGAAGGACATGCACACGACTGAGTACCTACAAAGGGTCTTCAGCACATGTGGAGAAGGAGAAAAGTCCCTTGTTATTAAAAAAATTCATCAATATTGCTGGCACTCCACGTGTGCAGCCACCATATCCAACCGAGCGGCGAGCGCAAGCCAGCATAGCCATAAGGCCCTACCACTAGCAGCACTCCCGTCTCCACCACCACTCAATATGTCCGACTACCACACCCCCCGTCTACCGCTAAGCCCACCCCACGTCGGCACTCCATCCATTCCTTGGGCACATCGAGCCTCTTCGACACTGCAGTCTTCACACATAGCTCCCATAGCATTGCAGCCGAGATCAAAGAGTATGAAAGCTGTGCAAATATATGGCGTGGAAGGCGGCGGGGCACCAGCGTGTAATGTGGGTAGGGACTATGAATACCCCCCGGCGGCGGATAGGCGTGGCCAAGTCCGCGGCCGCGGACGAGCGGCTTTGGCGCCACGTGGCTGCCAGAGGGGAGGGGGTCTCAGGATTCGGGAACCGCCATTCGGCGGCGCAACCCCTGCTCCACCCCCCCATACAAAAAAAATGGAAAAAAAACATCTTTTGGTTGGGGGGTTTGGGCAGCGAACGAGGAGAAATGAAAGAGAAAAAAATTGAACGCATTTTTTTTTTTTTTTTTTTCCGTTGATTGATTGATTGATTGATTGATTGGTGGGGGCGGGGTCGCCCCGCCCCGCGATTGATTGATTGATTGATTGATTGATTGATTTTTTTTATTTTGCTTTTTTCTTTGATTGATTGATTGATTGATTGAGTGGTGGGGGAGGGGTCGCCCCACCCCCCCGCCACCCGCTACGCTCGCGCGCGCACACACACACACACACACACACACACACACACACACACACACACACTCCCCCAAGATCCCGCTGCGCGGGCGGACGAAGGCGCAGCGCAGCGCG